CATACGTAACTCCAGTCCACACCTCTTCAACTTGGATACTGCTGGTATCAATGTGCGTGATTAGTTATGAAACCATTTTCCGCACCAATATTACCCTCATGAAAACTCAAAACGTTATGTAAATGTGTCTAAATACTGAACACTAAAGCGTTTAAAACCCCCTTTGCCACTCCTCTTACACCATCCATACACCAGCCCAGTGAAGAGGAAATGCTAAAAACGCTTGTACCCGAAACAAAATCCTGCACCATCCATTCTTGCCGTTTAATGCAGTGCACACATTCGTATTGGATGAGGTTTTTATGGTGGAGCTGCGAGAAGAAAGCCACTTGTTTTTCTACGGAAGCTATGACATCATTAACACAGTGATTCCCAGAACATTCCGAAGAGAGCCAAAAACATTTTCCACCTCCATTAGATTGATCTTCAAATGATATATTATTCCATACATTTTCGTTCACGCTTCCGAGCATTTCAACATACTTCGCGGCAGTTAGAAGAATTTTTGAGCAAAATAACCCAAACAATATTTACTTTGTAACTTACATGCTTCATTGAAATGCCCATTAATTTTTCGATAGCTCTCACTTATTCTATTGAAATCGCTTTCAGAATACGAATCATCACATACTTCCTTTGGGGACGGTGTGGCAAAAAAAAGTCTTGACTTTGACTTGACTGGGAAGAAGTTTATCTCAGCTCTCTACGTTTGAACTACGATGAACTAAATTGATTATCTATGCTTTTAACACGCTTTTACATGCTTTTACGTATGTAAATAATTCAAATAAGAAATTGTTTGTAAATGCTTATCACCAATTGAATTGAAAAAATTGGTTAGAAATTTGCTGCATTAGGAAAGCAATGAGATTTTTGGAACTTAGCATTTTGACGGTTAACTCTAGACCTCTCTCTCCATTCTCAACACATGATTTTTTTTTTTTTCAAATGAAAATAATCATAAAGAAAATATTTTTAACTGAGATTCTCTTTATTACTGTCTGATTATTTTTAACAGTTTATATAATAGTCTTTATTTTCGTCTGATTATTCTTAACAGAAATTGTTTTTATTTTCGCCTGATTAATTTTTAAAAGACGTTGTCTTTATTATTGCCAAAGAACCCTTTTAAACAGAAAGCTGCCAACAGATGAATAATATTAAAAGCCTTTTTTTATGCTACAGCTGCTCATTCTTAATACAAGTTTTTTTTGAATTGTGAATATTTAGCATTGTGCGTTAGTCTTCATAAAACGTAGAACGTGAATTTATTAAATGAATAAACCATTCATTCCAGTTGCACGATTTTTTAAAATAATTTTCACTTCAACAATCTCTCAGCTTAACTGCTAGCTCTAGAGTTTATATGATGTTGATATGAGCCTATGAAAAAACACTGGAAAAATTCAACAAACACAATTTAGAACACACAACCACGCGATAGTCAATGAAAAAATGAAGAAATTATGCAACTCATTGCTGAGAAGGTTTCCATTTCTTTTTTTTGCAGTCTTTTTTTTGCTAAATTTATGAAATTATATTACATTAGATATAAGGAGACTTAATGTATGTGTATCTTTTACAGATATTCTAATATCTACGCTATTGCACAGCTTTATACCTTGTTAAAGTTCGGTTATTTCATCAAAATTAATTATCTACAGTTAACATTACATTTTTTAAATCACCTCCCGGCACATTACTAGCTAAATATAAGTAAGCCTTTTATTTGCAATACGGTGATTGATAGTTATTTTTGACAAAACTAATATGGCAGAAAATAATATACAAAGCCACGGCTATATGGAAGATTTATTATGACTTTATTATATTGAAGTTAATTGAAATTTTCTAAAAAGTTTTAGATGTACGTGAACAAAGAGCATTTCTGCTATATTTGATACAGCGAAATTGTGTCCCGGTCCTTCAGACCAATTAAAATTATTTTGTCGCTAATTCTCCCTCTCTCGCTTTCCACGTTGATAGGTTATAATGAAAAGTAGTTTTATTTTCGAAAGTGATTGAAGCCGGCACGATTTCGCCGATTTAATATTTCTCTTCTAATTATAAATGTGGTGGTCCCTAGTAGTGAATCCCATCTTTTTTTAAAGATTTCAAATTCTTAAATATTGGACTTTCATAATATTCATATCTGTTCTTGATCGATAGTGCTTCCGTTTTCTGGAGGGTGGTATAATGAAACAGAAGCAAAATCAATGCAGACCTGACGGGACGTATACTTCCTGAAAGAATACGTATGATCAACTTAATTCATACGTACATATATATATTAAGTAAATTTGAAAAGTCTGCATACAAAATTTAGAGGTGTTTGCTCTCTTAATATTACAGGATCATAATTTGTTTGCAAATGTGCAATAAATTGAACTTCACTTTTTTTTTTTTAAGTCTCTAAATAATCTCTCAATTGAGTTAAATCAATCCAAGGATCTAGAAAGATACAGACATCCCCGGCTATCTCTAATGAATGGCTTAAGGGGACGAAAGTATATAAACACTATTCATATTATAGCAATGAGCGCCGTAATAAAACTTTCCCCGGTTTAAAAACTTTAAACTTAACAGCTTATAGGTAGAACAACGATACTCGCATATTTTCTCTAATGCAATGGTAACCGCAGCAAACGTTAAACTGACATTAAAACATTGTAAATTGCATAAGCTGCATTTTAACTTTTATAGCGTAGTAAAGATCAAAAAATTTGACACTTAAAATTTATATGACGTGCCGGAGGTTGTTTTACATGATCACCTAACAAAGCGGAGAATAGAGAATATTAATTTTGTTATAAAAGTCTCATTTTTCACTGTTTGGTTTTCCACTCATGTTTAATTCATTAACAATAAATCATGTGTTGCGCTAATCTAGTGAATCATATGATAATTATCGAAATCCAATAAAACATTAACGAGCTATTACGGATGAAATTCGCTAGAGAGCATCTTAATGGCACATCATTATCTTTAACCAAAACCCTAAGCGCATTTCATAGAGTTTTTCTAAATTACTTTCGAATATAAAAGGAACGGCTTTTGCTGCTTTTTTTTTAGAACCATTAACCACACCCAATTAATTATTTACGCACACGAAACTATAAGCTTAGTGGTAGATATCATGTTATAATTTATAAATGTACGTTCTGGAAACGTGTAACACATCGATAACAAACGAAAACCTTGAACCGCTATCATCTCAAGGTGGTGCGAAAAACTGTGAAGTAGTCAAACTTTTACTAACAATAAACAAAAAGGGCGGAAAGGCAAATAAGTGGCAATGCTACATCAAACACCTCTATAGATACCAAATAGAAATATTGTCAGAGGGTAAGTATAAAAAAGATAAACATACAAGCCATTTAAATATATATATACTAAATTGTAATGCTTCTGTTGATGGTCATCCTCTCTATCTCAATTCAACATCTCAAATGTGTGTTACGCTTGCGTGATTAAATGTGTTCTGTCGGCTTAAAGTAAAATCTCTTCTCCACTTAGAAATGTCGATGCTAAAATTGGCTCCCGATATTATATTCGCTAATATATCTGACAAGTGTGCTGTCAACTCTGACAGCATCATTATATATCATTGAATTCGTTTTTAAAGCCATATGTAAAATAAGCCTCTCTCTTATAATAATCTCTTTCTTTCAAAGCAATAGCTATGACAATGTTACAACTCGTTCCACTCAGTTTACGCGCAAAAGAAAGTGCTTTAATGGATTATAAGTTAGCATTTAAAAAATGCGATCGTGATCCTCTACAGCTGCAAGGCGTATTGTACACCACGTCAAAAGTTGGTAGTGTTACTTACACCTAAACATCCGGATATAGTTCTTTTGGCAGGAATAAGTATTAAACCCGATCATTTTACTGCATTCGGAAAAAGTTCTGACAAATTGTGCTTTTGCTAACTGCCCATTTGTCTTTACCGAAATACGTTCAGCTTTATTATTGCAACATAATAATGGCTGAAGAGTAAGAGATTTTTGCTTTTAAACGCAAAAACAAAAAAAAAAAATAGACAACAAATTTTTATGTCCGTTTTAGCGCCGATTTTACGTGATTCGTTTAAAAAGAAAATTAAATCGCATATGTATGGTAAAAAAAAAGATGTGACGAAAGTCGGTACGATAATAAGCACTTTATTCACTTCTTTTGCACAATTGTACACAGCTTAAATTAATTCTCTAATTTATATTTAAAAAAATAAAGGTATACAAATATAAACATGTAAACCAAAAATTTAAAAGGGCTTAGCTTAGCTGCAAAGTGGAATTTTTCGATTTTCTCCAGCTACTTTTTTGAAATGGATCGTTAATTGTTATTAATTAACCTCCCTAACTTACGCTTAAAACAATAATGGAGTCTATATACATAAACATGTAAAGCAAAAATAAAGGTAGATGCAAAGATTTCTCGCGGATGAGGGTAAATCATCTCCGCCAAAAATATATTTGATTTCTATAACAATGTATTGATTTTAGTTCTATGGATTTCTTTTAAAAAATATATGAGTATATAGCTTCGCAGAGTTGTTATATGTCGTCATAACACGATGATATTCTTTTGCTATTCATTCAAAAGGGCGTCGCCGCAATCCACATTTACACGGCAACTGACTTAAGTAACATGGACCAGCCGAGCTCGCTACCAGGAGATTATTTGTTGCCAATTATGGCAAAACGTTTTCCTCGTTATTTCAAATGTTAGCCGCTACAACAAAACGCTCATAAACAATTATGTCTCTTTGAACAAAATTCTTACAATTTCACTTAAATTTTGTTCAGATACTTGTCAAAAACACATGATAACAATTCGTTGTTGTTACGTTGTTTATTTTTTTTAGTTTTGCGTTGCGCACCTCATTCTTAGCCAAAGATAAACGAGAAGTGGATAATAAAATATATAGTATATAGTGAAAAATTCTTTTTTTAAGTAATTACATCTTCATTTTCTTTTATGGCTTTAAATGGACTCACCTCAAAATCCGACCGACTTAACGCCATATTACAGCAAACACAATTAAATGCCAACTAAATGAAGAGATAAAAACGAAGTCCGAATAAAAGCACGAACTAACGAAGCGCAACAACAGCAACAACAAAAGCAGTTAACAAAACTAATGAACACAAAAGAAAAAACAATTAAAAATGAGGGCTTAAATTCTTTTTGCCTTTCTTAATGTTTCTTGTCGACTTCGTCTTTCTTTTACAATATTTTTTGTTATTGTTTTGCAAAAAATTTATTGAAAATAAATTCACTTAAAAAACAAACGCGCACACACACCAACCCCCACACAATATATATTTCAGAAATATATATAAATATATATATATATAGAGACTTATTGTATTATTATAATTTTTGGTAACATTCAACAAGCACCAAGAAATTTTTTTACTTGCTATTGCTTTTCCGGCCTTGTTTAACTAAAAAAAAGATTAACAATAAAAGTTTTACTAACGAAATTTTAATGTTTATGATGAATCCAATTTCAATCCGATTTCTTTTTTGATACTACTTCTCTTCCACCTTATTCTCTTTTGGCAATTACACTACCAGTATTGCCGTACATTAATCCTCATAAACATGCCGCTTATGTGAATACCTCACACACAGCTGTAGAGAATTCTTTTGTTAAAATTAAAAACAGAGATGTTAAACTATGCAATGGAGTCCAACAAAAACGACCCCAGATTTCACAAAAGCGACTTTTAACTCCACAAGAACCCCTTAATTCGAAAATACATGTTGCGACATGTTAAAGCGCTTTTTCACTTACGTACTTGCAAAAATAAAATGTTAAAGACATGATACTTCAGATTTATTAACATAGCTGTTTGGTTTTAGACGTGCACGAACCATTTGTCAAATGTTGACGGTGAGAAAATAAGAAGAAAGAGGTGTGAAGTATCAACTTGCCGTATTTGTTGATTACTCTTTGTTTGGCAATACTTCTCAAACTATCGAAGGTGTTGAAAGAGGAATTGTAAATATTCGTTTTTGTTCCATTGCAGTTCTCTAAAAAATTATGAAAGATATAAACCAAATACCCTCAATGCCCTCTGTAATATATAAATGTACGTACCAAAATATATAAATGTAAATAAACATAAATACCTAATTAAAAATAAAATTGCAAATTTAAATGTAAATAGAAGTATAAAATAAGAAAATGAAGTAATGAAATGAATATATAAATACGAGTATAATATAATATAATAAAATATAATAAAATATAATTAT